AGAGAAAAAGAAAGATTCAGAAAGATGGAGAGATCAAAAGTTAGACGAAATAAGAACCGTAAAATTTCTCAGGGGAAACATTAAAGGGAGGAACAAAGGCCTGGAACACTGAAAACAGCAGGTTCCTCTTGTCTCTGAAACAAGACATCTTCTGAGCTAGGAGAGCAGGGAACTTTAAGATTTTGAAAAGCCATTGTAAGGAATGAGTGAGGAATCCAACAAACCTTTCAAAATCAGCCCATTGGCTAGGGCTTAAAGATGACATTAAAGGGCTGGCCAGCGCTCAGCAGATTAAAGTGCCTGTTTAGGCATGCAGGGGGCAGTGTTCATCCCTGGCGTGTCATACCAGCCCTACCCCGGGGGGGCACACTGAGACAGCAGTTGAGACTGGGCATGGTAGCACCTGCCTATAATCCCAGCAGGATTATAGGAGGCTGAAATTGGGAGGCTGAAAACAGAAGGATCACTACGAATCCAATGTGTGTAGTGAGAGCCTATAGACCATATACTAAATACATTTAAAAAAATTTTTTTAAAGATGACAGTGAAGGTGGTACTCTGGGAGTAGCGCTCAGTGGGGCTGTCTCCAGGGTTACCAGAGGCCTGGTCTCAGCACAGAAAGGTGGACCCTAGGAATTTTTAGGGTGCATAAAACAGAACAAAAGGTCAGGAACATTAACAATACAAACAAGAGACTGTTTGTTGGATCCAGGCTAGATAGGCGGCAATTAATAACACCAAAAGAGTCAGTTTAAAGGGACAAGACTCCAAAGAAATTTGAATATAAAAAAGGAACTGTAGTTATAACTAAATACTAGAACTTACAGTTTCAGAGGAGTGGTGGCTTCTAATAAGGTTGGTTCTTAGTTGTGCTGCTCACACAAATATTAAAATTTCTTATGTATAAAAAAGGAGATAAGATGAAGTCTGTGAGCCAGGAGCCTAAATCCTCAGTTCATGGGAATGGTGTATAGGAAGGGGAGTGTTTTGGGGTTGGGAGCCATAGAGAATGATAAAAGGCTGATTGCCATTGTGAGTTCTCCAGTGCCCCAGAGCTCGGCCTGCCTTAGCTTCTGAAGTGGAGCAGAAGTCAGGATGACGAAGTAAGGGGACTGTGCTTGATAGTTCAGATGCTGCCGCCTACCCTGAAATGTGTCCTTTAAGTAAGTCATTCTTTCCAGCGGTGGAGACGTGGCTTCCAGAAGGTTATCAGAGTGGCCTTTATAAATTGCTCACACTGCCACAATGTTGGAAAAAGAAAAAGTTCTTTGGGCTGGGGAGATGGCTCAGTGGGATAAATGGTTGACTGGCAAACACAAGGATCTGAGTTCAATCCCCGGTTCCGCAAAAAAAAAAAAAAAAAAAGGCAAAAGTTCTTTAACTTGTAGTCAGGAAAAACAAGGCCTCTGTAATTTTTTTCCTTTTTTTTTTTTTTTGTTTGTTTGTTTGTTTGTTGAGACAGGATTTTTTTTTTTACTGTTCCAAATATATTTATTTACTGAATCACTCTGAGGTTGATTTACATAAGATGATTTCAACAAGTAAAATAGGTAATGAAAAACTGTAATTGAATATGATATGCAGGTCATTGTGATGCTGAGGCCAATTTGGAAAAGCCCAAATTCAAACAAAGCAGCCGAAGCCCCATGTCCCACTCAGATTACAATCTGGAAGGTGCAAAGAGCTGCCAAGGATTTTGGAAACTGGCATTTAAAAAAGGATCTATGACATTTAAAAGAAAAACTCTAGCAATAGGATGAAAATTTTAATATTTATACAATTTTAATTTTAATTGATGGGATGGGATTTTGATTTGCAGTTCAGGCTGACTTTGAACTCACTTTGTAGCACCGGCTGGCCTTGAACTCATAGTGAATCTCCCCCCTCAGCCTCCCGAGTGCTGGAATT